AAAGAGTGTGGTTTGAAACTACATTTTTTGTGTGGGTTTGGGGTTTTGGTTTTGTTCGTTGGGGTTTTGTTTGTTTTCGGTTTGTTTTTAAAGCGCAAGCCCTGTGCGCATGTATGTATGTCACGTATAAACAAAACGTGTGGCTTTATTGTTTCAACTGACCCGCACCGTGTGTGTTCCTTGCAAATCACCTTCGTGCCACAGAAAATGGCTCCCACGGCCGCTCCTGGGACGGGCCCGCTGCTAATTGAGCTTGTTGTAAAGTAATGCAAAATGTTTATGACATCCACATGTGCGAGCAGCCCTTGCCATGTTGTTATTTTTATAACCATTTTACTGCATAGCACAAGCTGAAACATAGAAGAAGCCGTTTCCAGGCTGTGTGTGCGTGTGCTTGTTTGTGTGCCTGTCGGACAATAGAAGATGTTTGATTAAGCTACAACAAAAACCTGGAGCTTTATTTAGAATTTAATTTACACAGAGAACTCAAGTTAGCAGAAATAGCAATTGTAAATTATGTGCAGCTGATACACAAAGAGCAAGAGTTGTGTGTGCAAATACCGTGATTAGGCTGTCCCTCGTGGAATTAATTATGTGCCTGCCTTTGCTTGTTCAGACCACCAAAACTAGATGTAGTGAGTATGATGGAGGAATGGAACCGTATATGTATTATATTGCAGTACAAGTGTTATACTGCAAATATCTAATTTTCTTAGAAAAATTGTATGGGTGGCTCCCTTTTCAGCTAGGTAGCTTTAAACAAGTAGAAACCAAATAAGAAAGACTAAGTATCTTAAAAGTATAAAGCTGACAACAGAAATATTTTTAATCACTTATTTTAGCTTGTAAATATATCCCTAAGGTATTAAAAAACAGAAAAAGAGGAAATGTACTGGAGATGAAGAAACTGGTACACAGATCTGTATTTTTTTTTCATTTTACCTTCGAGTGCTGTGTTTTCAGCCAACAAAATAAAGCTGCTACTTTCAAATTGTGAAAGGTGGGAGGATTGCTAAAGAAAAAGTCAACTTTAATAATAAAATTGCCTTACCGAGTAGTCCCATTAACACGATATGACAAGCTAATTCAGTAATCTAAAGTACGGAGAGAGAGAGAGAGAGAGAACGTGAGAGCCTCCTTGAAGGCATTTGTTGCATTTGTTGCCTGAAGAAGAGACGATCTGGAGGAGGGGAACGAGTTTGGGTGGGAGGGGAGGTGGGGGCGGACAGGGATGGGTCGGGGACACACACCTTGTTGTGACTTTGCAGAGGCTGAGGCAGAGCAGTTCACAAGGGCATGTAATGATAGGACAGGGGGTAATGGTTTCAAGCAAGAAAAGGGTAGATTTAGGTTGGGCATTAGGAAAAAGTTCTTTAATGTGAGGGTGGTGGATTGCTGGAACGGGGTTGTCTGAGGAGGTGGTGGAGGCCCCATCCCTGGAGGCTTTCAAGGTCAGGCTTGATGGGGCTCTGAGCAATCTGTTCCAGTGTGAGATGTCCCTGCTTATTGTAGGGGGGCTGGACAAGATGAACTTCAGAGGTTCCTTCCAACCCAAGACATCTTATGATTCTAACACAAAGGTGTCACATGCCTGGGTAGAGGTTTGTTTTGATAGATTTTGTTTTTTTGAGATGCTTGTTTCTATTAATAAACTACTAGCTGCAGGCTTAGTCTGGATGCCTGAAGAGAGACTGTTTAAATAGAATTAATCTCTTTTCCTTCTTTTGTCTGCATGTTGACACTTAAAATCCCCACTAAGTTTAAAGTAGCTTAGGCAGAAAATGAATATTTTTGTATTGAGAACAAACCATCACCATGTTTTACAATTACTAGGTGTTGTCCTTTTCCAAAATATGTAACCTATCACCTATATAATTGTATTCCTGGATTGCTGTGCATAACTGAATACATGATCACTTGTCCTTCAGGATATTCAGACAAATGACTTAGTTGCTATGCATGTTTTTCCAAAAAGTCCTCATTATATTTCTGTGCTGAAAATAACTTTATTTGCTTATACATGGATATGCAGTTGCAGCAAGACAGTGTGATCTCACAGTATGTAATAACAGAACATGAAAATAAGGGGAACCACAAATCTTCCATTTCTACTGACAAAGGTGGTAGGAGAGAAAGGAGATTATTCAATTTGTAAACCTCTAGAACTGCAGATGCCGAGAGGAGTTCATCTGACCCATGCAGCTTTTATTCTTCAGTAAATCGGAGGCCTGCTAATGGATTTGAGTGTATCCATGCTTTAACTCCACAACATGGGTAGAGGGTATTGTCACTGTATCACTTTAGAGACTACATTATAAAAACATAGGTTTTATTTGGACAATGAAGTTCACATTAAACCTAGTTTAAAATGTAACTTGACTCTGTCCACATTGCTGAGCCGCTGTTTGATGTTGTCTAGTCCAGTCCACATTCTCCATTCCCTCTGAGGAAAATATGGTGGTAAGTTTTATCACAGTCTAGCAAGCGACATTTGGATAATAATTAGGTGATTGGCTAAATAATTCTACCATTTTTAAATTATTATTTTTTTTACTCCTCAGTTATTTCA